GATCTGCAGAAGCATCGGAAGGCCATTTCTATCTGAAAGCTTGATCTTGCGAGCCAGTCCCTTACCACTTGTCTTTCACCAAGGCGCAGCCAGAAAAGTGTGGCCGGTTATGAGGGAGCACATCCTTCTCTACCAAGGAGCACTCGTACTTTGGCACGTTTCATGGCAGGGTGACCGCAGACTGTGTTCACACAATTGCCGCTCTCGCCACGACGTGTGTCGTGGTCATCCCGAGAGTAATCAGACGAGTAAGCGCGACTTCATTTGCCAGAGAAGAGTGACATGGGATGACATCCACGAACGATCGACAGCTGAGGGGCCAGGATCACTCAGCGCACCTACTCGGAGGATTCGGAGAATATTGTGAGCTTGGCGATGAATGGCATTGTAGTCTCCTTGAGCACAACGTTTATATCACAAGTACTCTGCAACATAAATAGTCGTAGAGGGCTTGAATTGGTTGGAGAGGCTGGAACCCTCGACATTGGCTGTCGCAGCATGCCGATGTTTCCGTATCACAGCAAAACTGCAGTCGAGAGAGGGCGATAGAAGAGAGGGAAGAATTGAGTTGGATTTCTTCAGTGTGGGTGAGTGGAGAGTCAAATAATCAAGCTAATGTGGACAATGGGTGATGGAAGTGGGATACTGCCCTGTGGTTGGGTGTCAGCAGGTGTCAAGGTCCCTGCAGCATCTCGGGCGCTGCTCAAGCTCGTTGGACGATTGGCGGGGCTGCAAGCACTTCCCGGGGGCGAGCTCCAGGCCGTCACACCTGGGCGGTTACATTATACGGTCGTCCATTGGTTGTGAGGATAATGCCTAGCGATGCCTAGAGTGCCCCTAGCGCCCGCCCAGGGTCGCCGAGACTGACATGACAGCTCATCCGACAACCCAATTGCTGATCGTTGTCCGCAGCCTCGAATTCTGCGCCAATTCATGCAATTGTTCCTGGCTCATCACCTTTTCCATCCAATCACTCGCTCCCGTGCAATGCTTTTCGTCGTGCTTTTCGCTCCATCTGCGCCTCTTATTCGCTTACCGTGCTGTGTGACTGCTCAAAAGAAGGGACTCGGTCCGCTCCAGACCCCCACTTCGTCTGCGTCGAGTCCATCATGTTTGCAACTTCTGGTCTCACCGCACAACCAATGCAAGCTCTCGTCGAAGCGCCGACTCTCCCTCCGTACCGCTGAGATGCATCACCATGCACGAAATGCAAGACCTCCGGGACTCGATAGCTCTTCTTCTCCAGTGCAACTATTGCTGCTCAACTCAGTGGCTGCTCTTGTTGTTACTCGTTTGGGTTGATATCACCGTGAGGACAGTGAGTAGCGGGGTGCGCAAAACGCTCTCGCACGCGCGGCCGTTGCTTCTCGTCACCACCACCACTACGCTGCTCAGTCCTCGATGCTGGACAATGTCTTCTTCTGCATGACCCCAGAGTTCTATATCGCAGCTTTCGCCCCCCCTCCTTCACCATCCCTCCCCTTCCCAGCGTCCAAGAGGCTTTTGGGTTCCTCTGTCCTGCCATTCCTTACACTCGCTGCCAGTCGTTCCCTTCGTCTTCTTGAGAGAGCAGGCTTTCTCTACTTAGCAACCATTTGTGCGCGAAAACTGCAATATCTCAGAAGGCGGGTCCACTGAGCGGTCGCAAAATCCATGACCACTCTGCGAAAAAGAACAGACATCCAATAGATTCGACGGTGTGGCCTCAGGCCTCTCTGCCCTCAGCCCACGTACACGGCCACCACGACGGGTGTCTCTTGACGAGACCACTTTCGACCAATTTTCCCAATTCCCCTACACTGCTGTTCCCCCCGGGAGAGGTACTCATAGTATAGCGAGGATGTCTTCACTGTCGTCGGAAGCATTGGCGCAGTTGGCAGGAAGAGGGATTGAGCAGAGCATGGAGGAACTGGTCAAGAGGGTAAACATTCCCATAAACAGCACAACGCCTCCCGCCCTCGTCGCAGCAATTCAACACGATCCCTTCAACCAGGCAGGCAAGTACGGCCTCATTTTCGTTTACATCGGAATCATCCTGGTGGTGACCACAACGATCAAGCGGCTATACTACTACTGGGGAGACAAGATTCGAACTGCTCTATACAAAGAAGAGGTCATCAACTCTGCCTCGACGATCAGCCCGCTGGGAGTTTCGCCAAATCAAGGGTTTGGCGATTATGAATTGCCCAGTGCACTGAGTATCAATACCGAAGGGTCAACGAGGCATTTCTTCCCATCCTCGGGGCCTCTGGTGGCAGAGAAAGCACAGCAGCAAGCAGCTGTGTCAGCCATTGCACCACTCAACAACACAATCGCCTTCTTCCGGTGGATCTTCTACAGACCCATCCCAGCCATCAAGGTTGGGAGGTGGAAGTTTACGTTCCCTTCGTTGGGAGTTGTCGTGGTCATGGTCATATGCCTGGTGTCGTCTATGCTCTACTGTTTTCTGCCCAGGCCGCTCTTGTACGCCTCCATGTCATATGGATCTCCTCCACTGGCAATTCGAGCCGGGATGATGTCAGTCTCGCTGCTGCCATGGGTGGTTATGTTGGCCAACAAGGCCAACCCGGTGGCGTTTGTGACCGGGATTGGAGCTGAAAGACTGATTGTGCTTCACCGCTGGACAGCTTATCTGTGTGTTATCTTTGCCATCATCCATGTCGTCCCTTACTGGTATCAATCGGTGTCGGACCCAGCTGGCTACGCAACCTTCAAACTCTACTTCACCCAGCAATACTGGGTCTACACGACAGGCATTGCAGCCATCGCTCCCCTGATATTCCTCACCCTGCACTCGATCCCCATTCTTCGACACAAGGCATACGAGCTCTTTGTTCTCCTGCATATTCCGGTGGCATGGGCCTTTATTGGGCTTATGTTCTGGCACTGTCACAACTACTTGACATCGTGGGCGTATCTCTACTCGACAGTGGCGCTGATGCTTGTATCGCTACTCACCCGCCTCTTCTTCTTGAACTGGATGAATCCGTTTCGGTCGTCGTGGCTCATTGGGGAGGAGTCCGCCGTCACCATCCTACCGGAGAACGCTATCAAGGTCACTATCCCAACACAGAAGAGATGGCGGCCGGGGCAGTACGCATACCTGAGAATGCCTGGGATTTCGCTCCTTGAGAATCACCCCTTCACCATTGCATCCCTTTGTAGTGAAGATTTCCCCTCAGAATATGGCGAGCAATACCGGGATATGACCCTGGTCTTTCGACCTTTCTCAGGCTTCACTCGCAAAGTCTTGGATACGTCAGTCAAGAAGGGGCCTTACAAAACCTACCGAGCCTTCATCGAAGGGCCGTACGGTGGTATGCAACGGCAAATGGCCTCCTTCGACCAGGTCATTTTCTTTGCCGGCGGAAGCGGCATCACCGCCATCGCCAGCCAATTGCTCGACCTGATCAAGCGTATGCGCGACGGCAAGGCCACCACCTCCAAAGTACACGTGATCTGGGCCATGAAGCGGCCCGACATCATGGAGTGGTTCAAGGAAGAGCTTCGGATATGCAGAGAATGCGCTCCCCCCGGCTCGGTGCAGTGCCACTTCTTCATCACGGCGGCAAAACGCTACGAACCCTTGCCGGAGCCCAAGGAACACCGGCTCAGTGGTATCCGAGACAAGGTCGCTGACGCTCTCGACAAAGCCACTGGAGGTTCCAAGCGTAACTCGGCCCTCGTGATGATGGAGCATGAACCGGACCTCAAGCGCGAATTTGAAGACACCATCACCGCGCTCCCGCAAGCTTATGTCGCTCCTCCGCGTCACCTTGCGCCGCCGGGCACTGAGCAAGCGCAACCATACTTTCCACCTCCCCCAGCCGACAAACACGTGTCAACCATCTCCCAAGCGCAGATCGATGCTACACGGTCCTTCGATTTCGGCTTCCCTCAGACGCCGACGAAGTTCCAAAAGAACTTGATGCGGTTCGCCTTTCTACCTACCAACGTCACGTCTCACAGACGAGATGGTTGGCGGACTGAGTACGGGAGACCCGATATCCCGTACATGCTCAAAGGTCTGAGCAGAGAATTTGGACGCAGGACTTGTATTTATGTCTGCGGCCCGCCGGAGATGAGGACAGATGTGACGATGACGGTAGCGCGGTTGCAGAGTGAGGTATGGAAGGACTCTGGCAAGGACGAGATATTCTTGCACGCAGAGAACTATCACATTTAGCACCGTGTTGACCGAGTCTTTTTATGGGAGAGAGTTGAAGGTATGCCACGAGACGGCTGATGTAATATTGGGGGGACAGGAGCTTAGTGGCATAGCCCGTGCAAGGAAGCGAAGTATATACCATATACCACACCAGCGTGGAAATGGGGTTTATCAGACCCGGGATCTCACGACCTGAACGACAGCAGAGAACAAGTTGGGTTCTCTTGACATGTCATGGCGACATTTGCGACATTTTGGACAAAATTGGGCAGTTGTTGGGAAGATCCGGAGCTTTATGGGGCTCAGAAGGAGTTTCGACGATACCCCCTCTTGTTAGTTGGTTCCTGGCAGTAACCGCCTCTTTTTTTTTTTTGGCTCCTTTTGTACAGATTAGAGGCAGAAAAGAAGCCATGATGACTTATTCACTTACTGTCTACCTACCTACCTACCTTCCTACCTAGCTAGCTCGGTGCATGGCCCGCGTGAAAGCTGAAAGCTGAAAGCTGAGTAATGTCTCGGACTGGATGGAAGAGTGAGTCTTCTCATTCACAGTTCGCTGGACGAGGGACGAGGTATCAGTAATTCCCCGCACGGGTCATGGTCAGAAACCGGTTACATAATACTAGATACTTACATAGTAGGTAGGGAGGTAGGTAGGTCCCTACTGAAGGTGCGAGCACTCCTGGGTGGGAACAGTCGCTGCGTGGCCATGTGGTAGTCAAGTTTTTGTACACAAATCCTCGGTCCATGTGAGGGACACACACTCAACTCCACAAGTACCTACCTGGGTCTGGTCTGGTCTGGTCTGGTATGGTATGGTATCCCGTCCTATTCATGCGCAACCCTCCCAAAGCCCCAGCCGCCCGACACTCTCGCCGGCGTTGCGGACGATACATAACCTCTTGTTCCTCTCCCTCCTCGTCATCCTCGTCCGACCAATGTTCCCGTCCCCGTCCCTGACCTTCTGTTTTTTGCCCGTGCCGTCACCCTCGCCCTCAACCTCACCATCACAGTGCGTCGTCAAGTCTTCCTGTTCCCACCCGTCAATGACCCGCTGGGCCCAAATGCTCCCGATGGCGGTGCCGCGTCCTTCGGCGAGATTGTACCCGCCACTGGTGACGAAGCCGATGAGGTCAGCCGGGTCGGGACAGGGGACGTGTCTGTCCCATTCTGAGGGTTGGGCGAAGGGGTCGATCATGAGGGCGTCGAGGTCAGGGTCTTTATGTACTGCGCCGGCACCAGTAGGATGGTGGTTCTGGCTGTCGCCGTCAAGGAGGGGCTTCGGCTGTGTTTCACACTTCTTCGTCCTCTTCTCCTTGCTCTTTCCTCTGGGTTTGTTCTTATCCTTTGAGGAGGTCGTCGGTTGTTCCTTGGGCGGAGGCGGCGGCATCTCGCCGTCCCCTTTCCCAAAGGCGCTGTCCGGTCCGAAATTCTTCACAATCTCTTCGGGCGCGTTCTTGGGCAGCACGTTGATCTTCGCGAGCGACTCGCGTGGGTAGCTGGTTTGGCTGCGGGGGATGGAGAATCTGTTGGTCTTGATCTTCGGGAGGCGCGCATTGCTCAACTGGGCCTGGGCGTTGAGCCGGTCATGGTCGAGAGCGAGCCAAAGGGAGCGAAGGTCGCGAGCGTTGATCGACGATGATGACGAGGAGGTTTCCGTTAAGCTAGGGGTAGGTAGACGTTGCGCTGGAGGCGGTCCATCAGAATCCCAGCTCTGTGGCTGAGTCTCCTGAGATGTGTCCGTTCCGACTGTCCCTGACCCACTAGGACCAGGACCGGGCGGTGGTCCTTGTTTATGTAATGATGGGAGGCGGTAGATCCGGGCTGTTGGAGACGGTGTGCCTTTGTCAAGCAGGGTGATGCGGACTGTGACTAGGACGGGAAGTGGTGGGAGACTGATGCTTGACGCCTGCTTGAACAACGAGACGCTCTGCCCCGGTAACAGTTGGGCATATTTGACTTCCACAAGTTCTGGTATGACATCCGGCTCTGATTCACTCTCCGGACTGGATGTGTTGCGTCGGCGGGCTGGGTCCTTGAGGTCACTGTCCCGGGCTGCTTGGGCTTTGGCTGCTCTGCGCTGTCGCTGTGTAAGCAGAGGGGCTACGCTGGTCTGTTTCGAGGCGGTTTTGGCCAGCTCCGAGCTCGCCCTGGCTTCAGCTCCTGTTGAACCTTTGGTCTGTTCAAACAGATACTCCCAATCACAAGACCAACCTCTCCCGATCTCCCCACGCCTTCCTAGACCCAGGTCCAAAGCATCCCAGGCGATTCTGTGTTTCGGTGGCCGTCGAATCCACGAATCAAACCGCTTCTCACTTTCAGTCCGCTCCCAGGCTTTGCCCGCCTCGGTGCCGGGGAAATCTCCTGGGAACCACGGTGCTTTTTGCTCGAATGACAGCTGCTGTTTCTGGCGTAGGCCCCCGAAACGCGGGGTGCCACCGGCTGACAAAGGGTAGTACATCAACGAGCGCCACACGGGATCGACGCACGTCCACGGGAGGAGAACAGTCCAAGTCCCCTGGGCGTTTTTGGAAGTGCCATTCTCTGCTCTCGACGCGAGAAGGATCACTGGGATTTTAGGGTCTTTGCCCGTTACTGGTGGTACATGGCCTGGCGGTGCGAGCGCTCTTCGTCGGTTGATTGCCTTTTGGGACGGGAGCGTGTTGCTGATCCGCCAGCGTGCTTTGTGTGAGAGCAGCTCGGAGAACTTGGCCGTTTTGTCTGGCGGCCAGGCAACGAGGATCTCGTCTAGAGGAGTAGCCTCGGAGATGGCGGGGATCCTGATCCGTTTGGGCGGATGATTGAGCCTGGGATCGATTGTGTCGAACGCGAGCATAGCATTCTGGGGAAGGATGCTGGGATTGTTGAGTCCGGCGAGAGAGGTCCAAGACGACGACATCGACTCCGCAGCTTCAACATGCGTGGGAAATGGCCGAATCACACCCAGCAAAGCTTCAGTCGAGCCTGGTCCCTGGACTTCGACGCTCCCGATCTCAAACCGCAGATCTTCAATCAAAACCTGCGGTTTCTGCATTTTGGCAACCTTCAACAACTCCTGCCAGCACTGATGGAATGCAGACGGATGGATTCGGATGAGAATTTGATGGCTCAGCTTGGTCTTTCCTTTCGACGTCAGCGTCTTGGCCTCCGGAAGTGCAGACTGAGCTCCTTCGGCCGTCTGGACGTCCATCTGATCTTCGCTGGCGACAACTTCCGCCTGATCTCCCCCCTGGCCATCCCCAGAGCTTGCTGTCTCTCCCCGAGGGCGTTGGAACCAGATCACGGTCACCGGCGCAATTGGACGCTTTTCGTTGTCACGTTCCGAGACCCATCCACCAGCGAACCGGGTACCGGCCTTCCACTTCTTCCACATAGCTGGCGAAAGCCCTTGTGGGCTGAAAGAGAGTGCCTTCAGCATGCTATCGAGCGCCGCCTCTGTCCCCAAGCACGCCACCGTAGACATATAGCTGGTGTCCCAGGCAATGCATCCCAGATTGCCCGCAGCTCGATGACTTGGTCTGTAACTCTTTTCCGTAGGACTCAACGGAATGGATATTCTCCATAGCGGTTCCGTGGGCCGGGTCATATGGGCACGTTTCGTATGCCACAGGTGCGTTGGCAGCCATGTCTTGTGGACTTGCCTCCTCTTGTACTTCGTCGTCGCTCTCGGAGGCTCGGCCAGTTTGTTCTTCTTCAACCGCGGCACGCGCGTGGTCAGGACATGGTCCGCCGGGTCGAGCTGCTGGGCGTTGGCTTTGGATTCCTTCTTCCTCTGGCGCACCGTCTTGCGTATCTGACCGAGCCTCTTGAGGGCTTTGGCCGTTTCCAACCGCAGTCTCAATCTCCGTGACGGGGTTCGCGTTCGCTTCGTGACCGTCGGCGTGTTATCGTCTCTCATCTATGATAATTCTCCTGGTCAGCTCCTAGTCAGTACGCCAGCGACTCGTGCACTTTGTCAAGGCCGGGGGGGTTTGGGGAACCGACCTCACGTTCTGCCCTCTTGCGCAGCCTCCGCGGCACCTTTTTGGCATTGTGACTGGCCGTCCTCCGTCGCATGTGCCGGGGCACTTGTTGAAACGCCCGTGTGGACAATTGCTTCTTTGCCCTGCGCATGCTCCTCTCCAGGGCCTCGATCTCAAACTCGCGCGCCTTGACGAAGGAAGCCACGTTGAGTTCCCCGCCGCCCGCAGAGACCACTGCCTCCGGGCGCTGCACGGGGATGGCTCGAGCATCGTGGTTTTTCTGTCGCTTGCGTGCCGCCGCGGACTGGCCAGCCTGGTCAAAGCCGACCTTGCGCTTCTGCCCGACTTTCTGTGGTGGCGGCGCCATTGAAGCCGAAAAAAACAACTCGGTAGATGTATCAAGACGCGGCGCGTGTAGCGGCGGGAATAATCGTGGAAATTTATTTTGGGCCGATTACATATTAAAGCGGCAATACAGACTTTGTATACAACTCCCCCTCCCCCTCCACACCACTAAGGCCCGCGGCATATAAATAGTCTATAGTGACTGTACTTCATTTAGGTATGTGTCTAATGTCAACATGCGTGGAAGGGTCAGAGTCACAGTTGCACCTTCTCCTGTAGTCTCTGATAAATTTCCACTGTTCATAACTCGGCGAGATGAGCTGTTGGGATTGTGTGTCTTTATTCCCGTCACATCTGGCACCGAAGCGCAGGTTGATGATTGCTTCTGGAATGCATCCAAGGCATGTTGCCAGCTGTTCATTAGTCCATCTGTGAGTGGATTGTACCAGAAAAAGCAACGCATTGTAGACTCGACGGCGTCCCAGGATGTCGCCCCAGGGAACTGCGTGAAGAAGCATCGACTAAGAGCTACTGCTGGAGGAGCCAGCGGAAGCTCCATGCCCCAAGATCTTATGACAATCATCATGATCCAGATTAAGCAGCCTCTCTGGTCCGGAGTCTGCGCCTGCGTGAAAGGAAGTGACCGAGTCAACTCTTGCCTCGAGCCACGATACGCGGCAACCCGGGAAATCGACGCATTGGGGTTATGCACGTCGAACCCGAGCATAATCACCGCAAGTATCAAGTTCTTCTCCAAGCTATTCTCGGTGTTGGCGGATGACTGCAGAGATGCACATACTTCGAACAGGTCTGGGTAGTCCTGGCCATCTGAAACAGGATCTTCCTCAATAGAATGGGGGAGGTTGGCGGTTTTAAATTGGAGAAAAGTGCTTACTCTTGAAAGGATCCGAATGGTATCCAGGCTGAACGTACCCTGTCGAGCGATGGCGGCAAATCCTGTGGGTAGTGTTCTGAGCAGTGCCAGAAAATCGTCTTTGAATAGGCGCTGAGGATAAGCTCTCCAGCTTTTACGCTTCCGAAAAGGAAAGATGGTCTGGGCCCCGGTCTCGAGCATCCAGAAGTAGTCAAATTGAACGAGAAAAGCCTTGACAAGTCCGTGCAGTCCCAAATTGCCAAGCCCTCCTTTAAGTGCAACCACCATGGCCAGTCCCTTGCGATTGGCGATTCTGTCTTCGCCGTACAAAACATCAAGGCATGCCAGAGCCAGCACGGTCATGAGCACACCATCGTCTGGAGGACCACGGAGATGGGAAAGTTGGTCATACAAGATTGACACAGCTTTTCTCCGGTGGAATGTGACTTCAGAGGACGCAGTGGCGGATGGCGCTTGGCTCTTTTCCAAATAGGCCTGGGACATCGCCACCGCGGCATGATAAGCACTTCCATGTGACAGGATCAAAGGGTACATCCAAACCATCAAGGGGTTGGCCATATTGAACGTCAGAAACAATGGCTGCATGAGGGGTGAAATCGCCTGAGTATAGTAGTCGAGAGCGCGAGTGACACCAGGTGTCTCTCGACCCGGCCAGGATTTGAATGGGTCCATCCGTATACCGCTGAAGCTGACTTCCAGTGGGGAAGGCGGGCGAGACAACCGGCGATCTGGCGATTCGTCTTGACATTCGAGGGACTTGTGTGTCCTCTTGTGTGTCCTCTTGTGTGTGTGCTTGGGCAGAGAGTCCTGCTCTGAGCCCTTGCTGGTGTGATGTGGCAAAGCATAGCGAGGCTGAGTCTGCTGGCGAACGGTGGCTCGGTATTTGCTGGAGATGTGCGACTTGACCAGTCTTCGATGCGAGGCGCTGTGATCTGGATTGTCGTAATTTAGGAAGGTGAAGGTCTTGGTGACCTCTTGCTTGGTGGTAGGAGGCATAATGAAGCCTCACGTCTCACATTGCACGAGTGTTTAAGGCATTACCAAATATTACTGACACTGTAGTATGTCTGGCGCGGGGATCGGTAACCGCCAATTACAGACGGGTTTTTGCGAGGCCAAATCCCGCTTTCCCGAAGGCTGCGAGGGTCAGGCTTGAAGACTGGCCGAAAGTTCGAGTCCGCAGGATCAATTAGCATCGCGTAGGGGGACGTCTAGAGTCTGATCGCCGAATAGTTCGTCGTCTCACAAGGACAGCTGATTTGCTAAGCAGCACTATTCTCAATGAGGCTCGTGCAGAATGTTCTGCATGACTGAGGTAATATTCGTAGATCCAGGAACCGGTCGAACGATCCACAAGGCTGGTCAGAAGGATCAGGGGGGATTCGAAATCAGATACTTCAAACTGAGATGCACCAAGGGAGGCAATATCGAAAGACAGGAGATAGGCAAAACGGGAGGGAGGGTGTCGAGAGGAGGAATCAGTACCTCGAAGGGAGCTCCAAGTTAGTTATAGGCCGCGCTTCATCTAAGTTCGCGAGCCAAGCAGATCTGGCCTTGTGATATCTCTTTAAGGGTTAGCGTCTGCCAAGTCCATCGAAATCGGAAAGTGGGGCGAGCTAAATGTATCAAAACTTGCCAGAACAAAACATGTCCGCACATCAGCGAAATGCTAACACCCTGGGTCGCCCCAAGAAGGTACGAAAAACCCTGTAACTTGGGGCTAGCCTTGGTACCTAAGTTATCTCAGTTTGATAACTCGAAGCTCTAACAGTTTGAGTTCTGTTCCTCACACGAGTCCGACAAATGGGGCCGATGAGGCTCTAGGGTCTGGCCACCCTGCTCAGCTCCCCGACGGTTGGAGACCTTGGCCCGACGGCTGTCTGGCGCCACTAGGCAAGGCGTCCAGCGTCGCAAGCACAGGGACAGTGCGCACGTGGAGGTGTACGTGGATGAAGAGGGTTGTTCTGACAAATAATCCATGGTCGAAGCGACCAAAAGTCCAATGGCTTTCAGCCTCCCCAATCATTAGTGACCTTTCCTCCTTTAGTTTCTGCTCGCGACTAACCTCCCCCCTCTCTCTATATATATGTCCCGGCGGTGAATGCGTATTCTCATCGATGAGCAGCTGTACTGCCGCGTGCTCCGCCCAGTACATGTTGGCCTTGGCTACGATCCTTCGGAACTGATAAAAGGGGGTTTTATGAGCAGGTAACCAGGATTGCGCCTCCCTTATTATCAGCATCCTTCAGAGGAACTCGGGCCACTATCTACTGGGCGTGTCAGCGGCAAGAAAGATTCTTTTTTTAATAATAATACATATTGGTACATGTCACAAGTACAACTCGGTACATCCCTCAAGTTCCCACTTTCCCAAGAATTCTGGGCAGTTTCATATCAGGAATTATTCGTCAGTAGCGGTGGAATTCCACCCATGCACAGGGAAGGGAGGGTACTTGTGTGAATTTCTTTCGCGGGGGCTTTTCTGTCCCCTCTAGGTCTCTTCAGCTTGAATCCTTCGTTCGAGGGTCCCTGCTCCCGAACCCCCTGAGCCTTACAAGCCTGCCGATAATCCCAGGTCAGCCCCCGATCCCCCAGCTTCCATCACCTGCGCTTCGTCACTATGCCACCTCGGAAAATGACCGCCCCTTCGTAAGGTCAAGCACCGACGCCTGTTGTTCCTACCTATGGGACGGAGTGCTTCGGTATTATTGGAAGGGGGTGGATCTTGGGCAGAGTGTCCCAATCACAGCCACGGCCGGCGGCCTTAGTCATTCTCCACGGTCCCCGCCTTTGGACATGCCAAGCTTCTTACAAAGAAAGCGTGCAGCCTCTTAGTTCAGCCGTTGATGCGCCTCCGAATCGGCATTATCAGCCTGGATCGTTCTTCTGGTGTGCCTGGAACCCATTCCCTCGGGGTGATATAGACCCTCCCTCTGGCGCAGCAGGGTGGACATTTGCTCACAAAACCCTACCCTCTTTCACACTCCCGGCCAATTCGCGTAAAACGTGGGTCGTGAAGCAGAAGAAGAGAACTGCCCTGCCCACACTCCCACTCGTCTTAACCCCTTTTCAGCAGCGAAGACCGGTTCGCCTATTGGGCAAATCGCAGAATTTCAGACGATAACGAGGACCCCTTCTCGGTACTACAGTACATATTCAGTTGTGGGCAGATGCCGCATCATTACTAAAAAGTCACTTTGGACTTGAGTATTCGGGCACATCCCCCTTTGGCAACGAGGGCACCGATCAACCCAATCAACCCCTCGACGCAACTTTATGTAAACCACAAGAGACCCTCTCGGATTGGCGAATCTGACCGCCTTGCATTTTTCATTCTGGCCGGACTGTCGGTTTTCCCCATATCATACCTACCTACATAATCAAAACCTGTTTGCGGCAGCATTGCAACATAAAGCGGAGAGCGACCTCTCAATTCTCTGCCGGCTTTATTTTTTTTTTTTTTTTGACATTTCGCCCGGATCATCGGATATTACAATAATCAAAAGAGATTCAGGGAGAGATCACAGACATCAGGGAGACCTTGTCACTCCGACTTTACAGAAGAAAACAATCTCCGATACAATGGATTACTTCGCAGTGGCTGCTGCTCATCGTGGCTCATACTTTGAGTCGCTCGTGGATGCCGGTTCTTCCGACTCGAGTTCCCCAGATGTACGTCTCCCCAACGCCGGCCCTGCCCTGGGAGCCAGCTCCTGCGCTGTGGCGGCGGAGATATTGACCATTTGTTCCTCGACGCAGAATATGGGCGATGTGTTCCGGTACGGCGGTCTCGAGCCCGGGATGTTCCCCCCGAGCCACGGCTGGAGCCAATCCGATCTCGACACGCTCGACGCCTTTGCCGAGTTCAAGCCCCAGACAGGCCGACAGGGCAGTGCACAGCTGTCGACCGACTCGGAACAGACGATCGTCCCCCCCTCGAAACTGGTGAGGGACATCTTCGGCAACCAGCCACGCCTGCATGCTAACGAGCAGGGCCAGCGTCGGAGGGCGCAGAACCGCGCCTCGCAGCGCGCCTTCCGCGAGCGCAAGGAGAAGCACGTCAAGGGCCTCGAGTACCAGCTGGAGACGCTCAACGAGAAGCACCAGGACCTGCTATGCTCGTACAACAAGCAGAGCGACAGCATCATCCGACTCAACACAAAGATCGCCCAGCTGCAGGCCGACCTGGAAGCTCTGCGCTTCTCTGCCACCATGACGGAACCCCCGACCTCCCACCCCCGTCCCCGGCACAAATGGAACGGCCCCAAGACGACGTCACCGGACAAGTTCGACGCCTTCCCCAACCCCGTCGCCCACCCCACGCCCGTGCTCTACGACGGCTACGAGCTGGGGCCCGACGGAACGATCGTCAACACCGTCGAGAACCAAAACGCCGCACAAGCGACCAAGAGGAAGCAGAGGTTACCAGACTTTGAGGATCTGCTACGCATGGGATGATTGGGCTTTTTATCTTCTTCCTCTTCCTCTTCTTTTCTTCTGCCATGGTATATCCAAGTTTTGCATATGTCCCTATCAGTTATGAGTGTATTTTTTTTTGGGGTTTTGTTTGAGCGAAATTTCCCTTGCCTGAGGAACGGACTCCATCAGATCCCAGAGGTGAGCCAAATGAGCGCAGGCGTTAACATCAAACAAATGACGGTGAACAACGAATTGTATCTATATCTAGAGTGATCTACTTCGTTGCCAGAGGCGTTCTAGTGCAGACGTTGAAGCAGAATTTGAGTAGATCTCCACCCTCTCTATCTTTGTCTGTGTTGCATCTATGCCAACCCTGGGATAGCCTCTTCACGGACCCATTGTGAATGAGACCAGCGATGATGGTCAATGCTGGCATCAAGTGCGTTGGTAGATATAGACATCTGCTTCAGGTGGACCACGTCATAGTTTGGCAAGCACAGCTGCGGCCGAGGAAACCTAGGAAGAAAGTAGGTGGTATGTTAGCGGAGAGGACCACTGGAGCGACAACACCAATTCCTGCCCAAATTCATGACGAAATGGCAAGTCAAAGTACAAAAGGCCAGTGAGGCAAAACCGACTCTGGGGAGCAAGAACCCGCGAAATGCCTCCGGGTCGCAAACTGCAGCAGTACTCGGCGAAGGGTTGGTATACTCACTGTAATGTCCCGTCCAGGTTCCTTCTCTGCGTAAACGACCTTTCCATGGTCGATGATGATGGCATACCGCGCGGTTCGTTCACCGAGAGTCCAGCCGATGGACTTGGAAAATTTGGTCTCGGGGTCAGAAAGGAACAGCTGGCACGCAAAGAAGATTAGTCAAGGCTCCTAAGGGCGTCACAGGAAGTTGATCCATCTTGTCGTTACCCCAGGGAGGTAACAGGGGCTTGTCTCGTGTCTTGATACCGAGGTCGGAATCTCGTCCATTCTTTCTCTGACAAGGAATTCCAATCTGAACACATGAAAAGGAACTGTAACTCACAATCTCATCCTTGATACCGTTCGCCTTCCCCCAGGCGCTCATCACGAAAGCATCGTTATACGCCAAAACGGCCACTATATCCACTTTCTTTCCTTTGAGTTCTTGAAGCGCGTCAATGTAACCGGGCAGGTGCCTGACACTGCAACCTGGAGTAAAAGCGCCGGGGACGGCGAAGAGGACGACTTTCTTATCCGCCCATTCCTTGGAGGCATTGTAGTTTTGTGGGATGCCACAGCTGGTAATAGCAGAGCTTTCGGGGGTGTAGGGAATATAACTGTGAGCATTGACAAGTACGTTAGTGCACGGTCCAGAGAAGGATTCTAGACAGGCATTGCAGGTGAGCGCGAGAACTCACGAGAAGACAACATCAGGAGGAAACTGGTCCCCCTCTTTGAGCCCGGCCATTGTGGATAGTGATTTGAGGTTGAAAGTCGGTCGAGCGAGCACGGACTTCTCTGACAGGAGTAAGGGAGAAAGTAGATTAAACGTTGAACGGAGCCGACCTGTGTGCGTACAGATCGTTCTGGCTTCTGGCAGGAGTGTACGATGAATGATTGCTGACCGCGGACAGCCCCTCCTTGACAAAATCAATTTGGAGGGACCGCGGCAATGATGCGATATCGCTGCCCCGCGCGCAATGGACATAGTCGGAAGCGGCGCAGTCAGTAACAGACAAGTTCACAGATGATTTGTGTTCCTCGTACTCGGGATTTTACACAAGCAGGTGAAACTATTTTCCGGCTGGCGAAATGGCAACCACTGCAGAATTCCCTCCGGGTCTTTTCTTACCCAATTTTTTCCAATCTCAAACAATCAATGGTGGCGCCAATGGAAAACTATGGAGAAGATCTTGCCGCTGCATTCTTCCCTCCCCGCTGCTTTTCCCCCAACGTGAGGCCCCAGACCAACAAGTATGGATCTATGTCGCTGCAATACAAACAGCTTGCGTGGCTTACAGGAGGCTAGACCTACCCAGGACTCCGGTCTCGCTATTTTGCAGGAGTCGCGCCGCTTGATTGATCAGGCTGGCATCCCATTCGACGCGGGTCCGGCGTGAGTTTGCAGGCTCATCGTGTTCCGTAGGGTGGATGTTCGTAGAGCAATTGGCCTTGCTGCTCTTGGAAGGTATCAATCGCCTCCTCCAGACCGGGTGGGATGGATTGTGCTGCAACCTCTGTCATGCTGCTATTGGATAGCTGTAGATCCCCTTCGAATCCGTCAGGCCGTCTGCGTTCCCAATTGGTTACACTGGCAAGGCTGAGTGTAAAAGCGGAGGACTGTTGGAGGATTGACTTCTCGGAGGGGTTGAATGAATAGGCTCTGAACCCTGGAGCGGGATTCAATACTTGAGCGGAAGGTGTCCTCGGTTGTCTTTTGCTGAAGAGTCTGGAGGTATATTAGGGCTGCCTGCGTCGAGTTTCGTTTCCAGAATCCCACGCTCTATCGCAGTATCCAACACACAGCTTCCGTAGCAAGAGGGCTGGTCCTACCCTGTGCTATTCTCTTCTCAGATCAACCACTCTCCCAAGCTCATTCCCCTCGCATCCAAAAGGGAACATCTCTCCCAGGCAAAATGGCTGCCCTCCGCCCTCCCTTCACACTGAAGACCGCGCATGAAAAGGTCAAATTCGCCCAAAATATGTGGAACTCCTGCAACCCAGTTCAAGTCTCTCACGGGTACACGAGTGAATGCATTTGGCGGAACCGCGCTTCCTTCATCCGTGGTACCGCCCAGATCGTCGACTTGCTCACCAAGAAGTGGGACAAAGAAAAGTCTTACCGCCTCCGAAAGGAGTTGTTTGCCTTCACGGATGATAAGATCGCCGTCCAGTTCTGGTATGAGTACCAGGATAAATATGATGGTATGAAGTGGAAGAGGTGCTATGGACTGGAGGACTGGACCTTCGACCGGGAAAGTGGCAAGATGAGAAAGAGACATATGAGTGGCAATGATATCTTACTGGGAAAGGACGGGGATGGCGTTGCAGTACCGGAAGAAGGGATCGAAGGGAGGTGGTTCGTTGATGGAGTGGACGTCGACGATGACAGTGTCACAGCGAAGATCACAGAGGCTCATTGGTGAAGCGGTCTCAAAAGACGACAGGAAAGGGTGGTAATAACGAGGGACAGACTTTGGCTTGCTGGTTATATGTTATACTCGCTTTTCTGGTACAGACTCCATTAATGATCGTCAATCATCAAGCACAACCCCAACATGGCCAAACCGGGCCATGTGCATCCAACAGCTGTACAGATACCTTTGAGTATCCCCGATGAACATTCTCCCCCTGCCGCACGTAACAGCCCTCGCCGCTATAGCTCAGGGTCTTCCTCAACCCACTCGCTTTCTTCTGTCTCTACAAACGGTTCCAGTCTCGCTCTGAACTCGTCCAAATCCATGTCATCCTCGGCAACTGCGATTCCACCGGGGGTCTTAGGTGGTATGAGGACGTTGGGAACAACATGGATTACGCCATCAGCTGCGATACCGTCCAAGACTGCAACTCGAGCGAAACCATTGATCTTCATAGTGATGAGTCGACCATATCGAGCAATGTCGATACTCAAGCTCTTGCCTTCGAGGCCTGTAGGGAGATCCACATGAATGAACCCCTTGGGCACCTTGTGATGAGGTGGTGCAAGAGCATCCGCATCCAACTTGTAGATGGCGTCTGAATACAGGGTGATATTGTCACCAGCATGGTACAGAATCAAAGCCTTGAGATACTTGAGGCCGAACCTGCTGAATAGGAAGGCGTTGATCCTTGGACCAAGTCGTTTGAAGGCAAAGTTTGAAGGCGCAAAGAGTGTGCCTCCCTTGTGACTCGATGTGTCGTTGAAAGCGGGATAGAGTCCGGTCTTTTCCAATGCGAGATCGAGGGTGCTGAATTCACCGGGAAGAGCGGAGATGATATCAACAGCCTTGGGGGGAGGAAGGAGAATGCTGTCGATGCCATGGATTACTCCGTTTGTTGCAAAGATGTCAATGGCCACGACGCGGGAGTAGAAGTTGACAGTTAATCCCCTCAAGGAGACCTGAGTGGAGAGCCGTTGTGGCACTTTTCCGATATACTTGGCTTCAAGAGCAGTCGGGATAGTCCGACTGACCAGGATACGCGGAGCAGGGTAGAATTCAGGTGAGATGTGGTATGTTAGGAGCTTCTCCAAGAACTCTTTGGGTGGCTTGGGAGCATGCTTGGGGATCTTCTCAAATGCTCGATCTGTGGGAGCGAAGAGGGTATGGTTCGTTTTAGTGCTGTTCAGGAGCTCAACGAGATCTGGATACTCCTTGACCACGGCCGCCAGCTTCGTCGTATATTTGCTCTTGGAGATCAGTTCCCAAATGGTCCCATTCGGACGGTGGTGAGGATGATGCGGGCGGCGAGGCTTCTTGCCAGGAGGGCCACGGTGAGGCGGACGGCCGTCTGGGGGCCCGTGATGAGGAGGCTCTTCAAATAGATCCAAATCGTATTCTGCAGTCTCTAACCAAGCCTCGCCAGCAAAGGCGTCCTGGCAATGTTCACCATAACTGACGACGGTCTCACGAGCGGAATCAACGATATCTGTGAATGCTTGTTTGGCCGAATCAACAGCCTTTGTAAACTCCTCTTCAAGATCCTCCCAGAAGGTTTCGGCGTGGTGCTCGTTGTTCCAAAAAGGATGCTCAGAGGGGTAGTTGGGTTCTTGATTCTCGATAGATAGGGACTCGAGAGTAACCTGATCCGGGATCACGAAGGCAGCAGCAATTGTTGCCGCTGAGAGGATGGAGATACACCTCATGGTGGACTTAGGGAGGGAGAGAGCACTGTCGTGATTGCACGAAACAATGAAAAGAGACAATCGACAGAGGAGTCGTCAGGGATTGAATAAAGGTCGAGATCAATGAAACAGGCAGAAGCGAAAAGACGTGATACCAACCACCACTTTCATATCGGGATCGAGTCTATGACATGCAGTACGCAACTGGTGATGCAAGAAGGGCGACGTAAGACGCATGCACAAAGAGAGCTTATGCTCGGTCTCTCACTGGTTGAGAGGGGATCTCTGGCCTAGCGAGCCGTTTCCGGGGGCCGAATTGGGGGGTGGAAGGCTCACTCCGAGGGACTGTACGAGGTACAAGTACTAACAAGTACAAGTAAGCTGTCAGAAGCTCCCCCCTGTTTACCTGTTGCTCCCCCTCCATCACCGTAAAGGGGCTGAGCCAGTTGGCCAGCTCCCTCAGGAGCTCGACATCACCCCACCATTGGTGCCACCAGCGCCACATTTAAACATTGGCATGAGGTGATGACGGCAAAGGCGCGCCGCGCACCTGGAAGCTCCTGGTCGGCGAATTGCTAGCTCCGGTCCGACGCAGGGAGGCACACGCGACATCTAATCAGCAATAGGGTTCAATAGATACTCATGCTGCGGACCATCTTCAGTGTTTCGTGTTTCCCGTACCTCAACTTCCACCCATGGTTCTGCGCGGGTCTGTGATCTGCCTTCAAAAACTGACGGGATCATCACAACAATGCTCCTTATGCCACAAAACAAAATGACCGAGAGCATCTCGAGCTGCAACAAGGTTTGATAACGTGCCGCAGCACAGCTGAATGGTGGAAAGGAGTTGTTCACTGACGCGCTGAACAAATTGCCTTCTGACGAGTAGTCCCTGCCCTCTACCGCGTCGAACATGCCTCCGGTTGCGCTTGATATCAAGATGAGGACGAATATCGAGCCGGATATTGACAGAGGATCAATAAGAGAAGTGGTCGGCAGCTGCCATCGAAGGGGAGTGCGAAGCACCTCCCGTTGTACCACGTTTCCCGACGTCTGTTGCAGAAAGCCTCCTTTCGTTCTCTATAGCGAGCACGAGTAGATCCATTCTCCATTGAGATCCTGTTGGCTCCGTTCAAGTCGTTCTTTTTTGGATGCTTCTCTCCCATTTTGGTTCTTTGGTTCTTGGTTCTCTTTTTGGACTCACCTAGAACATTTCTCATTGTCCAGTGCGCACGCTGCGCCAGCATTCCTCAGCCTGACCCAATCATTTTCCAAGCCTGACATCAACAGTCTCCTGGCTCTGGCCAAAACAAAACATATTACTCATTGAGCAGAGTCACAATACAAGCAAAGTCACACCGACGCGAAGAAGACAGAACAACAAGGAACTGTGGTTGATTGAGGCTGTGCGACCTGTGCAGTTAACTAGGGCCCGGCAATCACATCAAAAGGACTGGCAGAATCCGTTGTATGTCCTCATACAAATTCACGGCTTGTTGACATTGAGCACTTGCATGTGATCTCGCGGTCCATCGTTCACCTCACTTCTCTCTCTACCTTCCTTTTGGCAACATCAACACCGTTAGATTCGTACGTTCATTTACCGACGGACAGTACTTTCTGCTAACAGCTAATCTGGTCTTAGGCGCGTTGCATGGAGACACCAGCTTCACAGGCTCGAGGTCGTTGATTAGAAAGGTCGCGCGCGCATGATGTCGTCTTCCCTCAAGACTTCAGCGCGACCCGGCGGACCCGCCTCGCTCCAGTCTAAGACAGAAAGACCAACTGCGAAGAGAAATGCTCTAGCTGAAATACAACCACGGGCGCAGCCTGCATCTGTCTCACCTTACAATCGCGCCCAAGGTCCTGCGAGCTCGTCACCACGACTGCCACATCACGAGTCGCTCAAACCCGAGGGGAATCTATCCATTCGCGAGAAAGCCGCAGGCAAACGCACCGTCATCGAAAATAAGCGGCTGTCGACTGTAGCGGATGATATTGTCTCAGAGAGCAAGAGAGACTCACAAGTCTCGACAACTTCGGCAACATCTGTCACTGTGAAGGGAAAAAGAAAGACTCACGTTGGACCATGGCAGTTAGGGAAGACCTTAGGCAAGGGCGCCACTGGCCGAGTTCGTCTGGCAAAACATGCAGGGACAGGACAAACCGCGGCAGTCAAGATCGTCTCCAAGAAGTCTGCCGCACTTGTTCAAAGTGCAAGTATGGCCCGTATGGACGACGAAGACATGGCTTCGATGATTGCTACCGGTCCCCGAACCATGCCCTTTGGGATCGAACGCGAAGTTGTTATCATGAAGTTAATTGAGCACCCCAACATCATTAATCTCTACGACATTTGGGAGAACCGCGGTGAGCTTTACTTGGTCCTTGAATATGTCGCAGGTGGCGAGCTGTTCGACTATGTTTCCGGCAACGGAGCTCTGCCTGAAGATGAAGCGGTCAGACTTTTCCGTCAGATTATTGCTGGTCTTTCATATTGTCATCGTTTCAACATCTGTCACCGCGATCTCAAACCAGAGAACATTCTCCTCGACAGCAACCGAAATATCAAATTGGCAGACTTTGGGATGGCGGCCTTGCAACCGGATGGGACGTGGCTCAATACCTCGTGCGGCAGCCCACACTATGCAGCTCCTGAGATCATACAAGGCAACCAATATCGTGGCGACAAGGCTGATATCTGGAGCACTGGGATCATTTTGTATGCAATGCTCAACGGTTTCCTGCCCTTTGATGGGGGGACACTCGCCAACACTTTACGCTTGGTTAAGAAAGGAGAATATTTCCTACCTCCAAATTTGAGTATCGAAGCCGCAGATCTCATACAGCGCATCTTACAAAAGCGACCAGAAAAGAGAATCACAATGGAAGAGATCTGGGCCCATCCGCTTCTCAAGAAGTATGAGAAATATCACGCAAGCTTGGTGGCACCCGCACCGCTCATCGGCGCAGCTCCACCTCTCAGTATCGAGGCACAAGGCCGGCGCGTCACCAAACGTTCCGATATCGATGCGGAAATACTGAGAAACCTGTCGACGCTATGGCATGGCAAGAAACCAGATGAGTTGATCAAACAACTGATGAGCGAGGAGCCAAACCATGAGAAGCTTTTCTATTGGGCACTGGTCAAGTTTCGAGATGATCAACTCGAGAATTACCCAGGCGACCCTCTGCACTACTCTGCCAGTGACTATCACCATGTGAGCAAGCCTACACCCAAACCTAAGCGTGCACCAAACGGTCGTGGACACAACCGACGAGCTTCTCAATTCTCCATTGTTAGCGACGACAACAATAGGCGAGATGGCTATTACAAAAATCCTGGCACTGCGGCAAGCAAGGCTACTCAGAGCAGCTATGATCCTTATCGAGCATCGAGGACGCCAATTGCAGGCGATGCTCATGAGCCGCCAACAGTCGTTGTCAGGTATCGACCAACCACTCCAGGAGCGCGGTCAGTAAGCTCCGCTGGCAGCGTGAGGCACAAGGTTGTGGAGAGATTGAGACCTGATGTTCCTGCTCTCCCAACTTTCACATCGGAAGAACTTGAGAGACTGATTCAGAAGAAGCGTGCTTCATATTCCACAGCAACATCCAAAAGCTCTCTGTCCAGTGCTCGACGCGCACCAGGTATCCGAACGTCCGTGAGCTACAAGCGACAAGTCAGTTTCCAACATCGACGACAGCATTCCCATGGTACCTCAACTCCTCACGCTCGCGCGCTGCTTTCCGACAATTATCTTGCGGACCGTCCTGGCACTCGCGGTACCACGAGCGGAAGATCCGAGACGCAGAGCAATCCGAGTCTACCAACACCTCCCCAAGCCTACCGACCACGCAAATCCAGCTCCGAGATTGACGTGAAGAAGCCACGTGTTGCTAGCTGTTACTGGAAAGACGAAACACGCAAAGTCAGTGCTGAACTGGGCAAAATCTGTGAAGAAGCCTTCAATCGATCATCGGTATCTACCGTCAGCGAAGTCAGCCCAGCGCCCCCATTGGAGTCCTCGGCGACATCCATGGCAGCACATGCTTACAGAGTACCGGCTACTATCCGTGATCGCCCCCTCCCTGCGACACCGATCCTCCAAGAACTGACGGAACGTCGAGAGAAGATCATCGAGACTTGGGGAGATGCCGATCCAAATGTTCTGGCCGATATGCTGGCTGCTGTTGATAAGCGCATTGATGCCGAGTTGAGCAAGGAGGGCAAGGGTGACAAGCGAGCGGCTTCTGATCCAACACATGGGGCTGCACCAAGCAGGTATCGTCGTCCTATCTCTCCAGTCGACACTATGGAAGACCTGAAGCGCAACCGTGAGGATAGCTCTAGAGCAGCATCGGATCCCGTCAACTTGAAGACCCCTCAGGTGTCAAAGGACACCACAATTCGCCTCGTAACTCCAGACCCAACTTCGCCCTTCGCTCGCATTGAGCCACTTCGAGTCAACAAGAACAAAGCTGCCCCTATCAACTCCCTCAGAGGTGGACCGGCTGAATCTTATGAACGCGTGGGATACGACACACGGTTGTATGGGAAACGAGGACTTGACACGATCGATGAGAATCCCGGATCGCCAAAGAAGAACCGTTTCCAAACGTCGTCTAACGGCGCACGAAAATGGTCCTGGCTCGGTAAACGTGGATCTGGTCCACAGGATCCCTTGGATTCTTACAAGTCTTCAGACGAGATCACACAAGAAACTGTTTCCAACGCCTCCCAGATTGTACAGCCAAGCGAGTCAGGCAACTCTTCCACCCTTTCGACTGCAAAAGGGAGCGAACCACAGTCGGCTGATATCGAGTTGCATCTGGAAAAGAAGAGAAAATGGTTCCAGAAGATGTTCGCGAGACCACCCAAGTCGAAGGACGGTGTTCCCGCCAACCCCATTGGACATCACATTGTACGAGATCTATCAGACGGCTTAGACCCCAACGAACCGCATCTAGAGATCCACACCGATAGCACGGTCAGAGCCCAGAAGTCTTATCCTCCGGCGACCAGTGTCGATGCCGCCCTGGCAGCGGCTTCAGTTGGTCCTATTGAAATCAACCAGAACTGGTTCGCCAAATTCTTCCATATCAAGCCCGCGACTCGTGTGGTTTGTCTTCAGATTAGCAAGGCCAAAGCCAAGAAAGAGCTTGTCAAGATTTTGAAAGAGTGGCGGAAATACGGACTGAGGGATGTGGTGTCAGAACGACGAGGAGGTAGTGACGTTGTCCGAGGGCGCGTCGATGCGTCAAACTGTGAGTGATGCCTTTGACTGTCCATTATCGCGCAAGCTGACCCGTGTATGACCAGACCTACAACTCAAGCCCGTTCACTTCCACGCCTATCTGTATTCGGTCCTTGAACACGGTCGAAAAGCGAATTTGAGCATTATGAAGTTTACCCAAGAAAAGGGTGCAGCGAGCAGTTTTTACAAAGTTGTCGATACTCTTGAGGCCGTCTTGAAGGAGCGGCACTTGTTGGTTCCTGATACGCAGCGCAAGAAGGCCATTGAGCGCAGTCTTAAGGATGCAGGTTTGTGAAACAATAAACATCAAAGAAACATCAGATTGGGTCGTTGGCGGTTTTTTTGAAACTCGAGCATTATTGGGAGCTTGGAGAGTAATGGCTGTTGGCTTTCAGCCTTGTGTACGTTCCTTTGCAGAGACAGTTGGATTCTTTGGGGACAAGGGAAGAGTCTGCTGGATAAGATACATATGGTTGTTGGGGTGTCGAACAAAAAGGCACATGCATTGTAGTCATGAGCTTCTGCAGGGATATTCTAATGCTAATGAAAAGCGGAATTGAAGACATAATGCGAGTATGTAAAGCCGGTTTCTCTTGTCTGTGCCTCTTGGGGGTTTTCAGTGCTTTTCGAACTTGACGTACCACGCTCCCGTTTCAGGAGCGAAATATGGGGAGAGTTTGTCGATCTCTTCCCAGAACAGAGGCGTCTTTGTGTACGCTCGATGGTCCTGCACATGTTTTTAACATCAAATGGAACAACGCTGCGTCTGGATGCAGATGTGCATATGTTGGGGTTGGAAGTGACAGGAGAGCAGGAGAGCAGGAGAGGAGGAGAGACTGACCTCGACCGTTTCCCAGCCCAGGTAGTAACACGCGAGCCTACGCTCGTCCTGGGGGATTTCTCCCTTGCGCTGCGCCGTTTTGTCCTGAGACGTGGCGGTGGCACTAGCGGCATCACCACCACCATGACCAAGATCGTCGATGACAGGGACAACAACACCTTCGGTCTTGTCGACCGTGTTGAGCGCGTAGGCCCAGTTCCCGCCCACGAAGCCCTTGGTGTAGTAGCAGTCGGTGAAGGTCTTGTGCATGGACGTGGCGAAGGCGGCGTCGCCGCGGGGGTGGTTCGGCGTGAGGTTGATGATTGCCTTTGTTTTTTGTTTTTTCACTCTCAGCCTCGTAGTTCCATATCCTTTTCCTTCTTCTCCCTTGGCGTGTACCTCGCTCCGTTCTCCTCCGTCACCAAGGAACGAGGACAAGGACGAGGATCGGATATAAACAGACACGAAAAAAAAAAGGGAGAGACTTACGAATTCGCACAGGGGGGATTCCAGCGCTTTCTTCAGTCCCGGGACTTGGGAGTCTTCGAATTGGAAGAGGAGAGATGTCACATCCCTGTTTTTTCCGTCGGTGGTGCCGCCTTCTGAAGATGCGAGCGTGAGCTGTTTCAGTTGAGCCTTCAACTCTGCGTTCTCGGCGAGGCTGGAGTCTTGTGGCCAATCTGGTATGGGGGGTTTTTTTTTTTCTTTGGTCAGTGACTCGGGAACCCAGGAACTCGTAACATAAGGATCCCCATTGAATGGCTCGGGATGGAAGGAGAATCAAGAGACGAACGAATGACCCAACACATCTCATCGCCCCGAACCCGCACGCCCGGCGCCCCGGTCCGGATGGTGCTTCCAAAGTACTGGTCACGGACGCCGTACGCCTGCGCGACGTGCTGTCGGAGCTTGTGGAATTCGGTGGCTGTGGCTTTTGTGGGCGGGAGGATGAAGCGGATGATTTCTGACAGGATTGTCATTTTCCGTTATATATCTGATCTAAACACGGGATGAAACTTGTGGTAGTAAATGAAAAATAGGAAATATGTTTCCCTTGGTTCACAGAAAGAATGAATTTGGTATCAACGGCCGACCGGGTGACGTTTTGGTTAGAAGACGTGTTTGAAGTACATGTCCACTTGACATATATGTGGATTGGATATCTCTATGTGTGTAATATATATCCATACCCGCTCCATGCAGAGAGAGCATAAGTTTTTATATTCAATTCTCTCACCTTTACTTTCTCATCAGTAGATTTGATGGAGCTCAATACCGAGACATTTGGGGGGTCTTTGAAAGGTTGAAACCACATGTGAGGATGATGAGGGTGATGATGATGATATGCTCAGCCAAACAAAATAAACTTGATCATCCGGGGCAGGATTCGGCCGAAGCATCAATGGTCCTGGGCCAGTGGCCCACCCAGTGCTGGCTTACCATATTCACGGCCAAGGCTGATCTTGGATGTCTTCTGGGGTCTAGTAATAGGGTATTAATTGTTTCTTTCAGCCGCTGAGAGTAGCCCGTTTGGGTACCTGGGTGAGTGACTGAGTGTGTCTGTGGAAGGAATCAACCGCACACCATGCGCTGCAGGGGTTGGTGTGGCGGTACACAGGAATACGGATTCTAGCAGAGCAGTGGACTTCTGGTTATAATGGCATGGTTGAATTGTCGAGTTGTACGAGGTATTGATATGTATCGAGGTGTTTTCTGTGAAAAGTGCCTACGGCGAAGTACTGCACCCGATGGTCTCGGCCAATATACTCCGCCGTATCTGAAGGTAGTCACGTGAAGCCCTACATCCCGAGGTAAAATACAGGTACTGAGTACTTTGTACGATCGAGAACGAAACTCCAGGGCTACCATTTAGCTAGAAAATGCAGAACCGTGGCTAGACTCTCGGATAAAGAATTATCAATTTAGTCAATGAGCTCGTCATGCGCTAAGAGCAGATCCATGGTCAATTTGTAGGCCGCCGGTACTGATCAGACTTTGTCTCCGCAATCAACTCCCCCGTGTCGATGGTCTTGTTCGCCATTCTCCGTGTCCTCCGCGAGCTAGCTTCTACACAAGCTGGTTGTAGCCATCGCTGCGGGCACTTCTCCGCGATCTTGAGAGACCCAGTCTGCTGAAAACAGGATTGAAAAAGGTGTAGTAGATCCAATAGCACAAACTGAGCGGCCCAAAGATCGACATGGGCAGGGCATTGAGCAAGATATGCCCTAGAATAAGCCGCACGATTAGTGGCGTCGTCATTAAAGAAGAGTACTGAGATAATAGAGAAGAGAGAACTCACCCCAGACAAATGGTCGTCGCTTGATCAAGTCCCACAGCTCTCCCTTCATGACTCCCTCGGCCCCTTCCCACTTCCACGGGCCTATCATTCGGAATTTGGTGTTCATGTTCGCGCCAAAGGCCCACACTGCAAACACTTTCCACCCACGTCTCATCATCTGGGTAGCGGATGGTGCCGCCCCCATGTCGAGAGCTACTTGATACGCGTACGACTCATGGTCAACGCCATGGTGAATACGGGCTTCAGGCGGCGGCTTGAGTCTGTACCACTCTTCCGCATCGGGATTGAGTGCTGGAGACAGTGACCGTACGTTTGCAGGGGGAAGAAGGTTGAGGATTCGCAGAACCCAGAGCTGCGCCTGGAACTCGGCCAGAGGTGGAATTGCACCTAAGATACCAGTGTTAGCAACCAGCACATGGACTAAAAAATGTCTGCAGGCGCACGCAGGAGCACGGGGAATGAACACATGGATGGGAGCCGGGGTACTTACCGATCTGTGGTCGAACGAAGCCTATGAAACCCACGGTCTCGTCACCGTCCTTCCAGATTGCACGAACATCGGCATCGTTGGAATGAGGATAGTCTGGACTCAGAAATGGGAACGTCAAGTGACGGTAGCCAGTTGCGAAGATGATAACGTCTGGCTTAATCTTCAACGTCTCAATGTGCTTTGATTCTTGCGTGTCATTCTTCTCGAAATGGATGACCCCTTCGTCGTCAATATACTCCGGAAACGGTGCGAAATCGACCGTGCGACCCTTTGTGTCAACCTGGGGCAGGTCGATGATCTTCTCCATGAATCGCTTTATCCGGGTATTCTTGATGTAGCGCCTGTTAAAGTAGGGCTGGACTTTGGTGGACTTGACAAAGATAACTAATGGGAAACTGGTTATGCTGGAGCCTCATAGGGAACCAAGTGAACTCACTCTCGGACATGTGATAGCCCTTTTTGATTCCCGCATGCTGACCGTACCCATACCGAGTGTTGTTCAAGAGTATCCAGGCACCCTTCGTCCACCAATCATAGAATACCCATTGCCAGCGGGAATTCCTCAGCTTTGGATGCGCATAGGCAGTGTCGAAGAGGCAGTTCCAATTGGTGTCAATCGGAGACGGGTTGTATTCGGCTTCCCTCTTGCCCATGACAACGAAGCGCTCCACATGCTGGGAGCGTCCCAAATTAGTATAGAGGAGATGGCTCCTGTTTTCGAGGCATAGCTCACCTTAGGTGCCAGGACGAATCCATTTCGATGGCAAAGCGTCACTGAGTTGGTGGGAGAAGTCACGGCAAAATATGCCATGTCCATTGCCGTTTCTCCTACACCGAGCACCACGACATTGCTGCCTTCGGTGAATATGTCCCGGCCTTTGTACTGGGAGGAGTGAATGACAGTCGGAACTTTCTCGATGCCGGGAATGTTGGGTGCAACAGCATCTACGTGCAGTCCTGAGCACACCGCAACGGCATCACAAGCCCATTCCTCAGTGCTTCCATCTGCGGTAGAAAGGGCCACGATATGGCCCTTGCCATCTTTGGCACGTCGCACATTCGTCACTGTGGTGTTGAGCTCGATATGTGGTCGTAAGTTGAAATGGTCGCAGTAGTTGTTGAGGTATTCAACGTATTGATAGAGCTTGAGAAAATCACCGCAATCAGTGCGTTCAGGTGGGATCCTGAAGTCTGAGAAAATGGTCAACTGCTTTGAAGACACCATCTACTCCAAGTCAGCCCTGCTACTGTCTGAAATTTGGATGAGACCCCAGTAATTTACCTCGCCCTCGGGATAGGTGCGATAGCGGAATGTGCCTCCAATATCATCTTTAGTCTCAAAGAGCCTGGCCTCAATGGGTTCAATGGGGAAATCCTTATTCGCCTGGAGGAGGTACTTCAACGTCACCAGACCTCCGGGCCCTGCTCCAATGATGGCAACACGCATTTTCACCACTGTTCACTGGAAGACGTGTGCTTGAAGGTTGAGGACAGGGAGGGTTACACAGCAGGGGGAGGTCTTCAAGACCCGGAAGATTGGGACGACTCGGCATCGATTTCATGATCTCCCCACTTCCACGTTGACATGTACCGAGCGACAACTGCTTCCAGGTGTGTGCAGGAAGCTGACGAGGGAGCGATGTCCACGTATCATGAGTGGATCTGTTAGCTTTGAGTCTCTTTATG